CTACACGCAAATTAGCTGGACTTGGGGATGCACCCTGTGAATCCCAGGTACTCGGAGGCTGGAGAGCACGAGATGCTTGAACGCAGAGGAGGAAGTTCAGTGGCCAAGATCACTGCAGCTACTCCTAGGCCTGGGTAAAGAGTGAGGAAAAAACAAACACTGAACAAAACAAACAAACAAAAACACCTACTTAGTTAGCTGTCAGATGGACCACAGAGGCTGAAAAAAATGACATGAGTATGATGAAATCTAATATTTTTAAACTTTTAACTGTGAAAATCTTTCTGGTCAAAAATTTTCACTGATAACAGCATAATGTGTGTAAAAGATATGCCAGCTAAGGCTGGTAAAATCTCTAAATGTGTATTTTCCGCAGATGACAAAAGCAATTTACAATATTAAAATCCATGTTCAATATCTGTCTTCCATCCTCTTCTCTCTCACTCCCTCTCTCTGGCAACTCAGTTTTGCTAAACCTATGCAGCTCATCAAAGACCTGAGGATTCTGTGACTTTTAAAATTAACATAGGCTTCCATACCTGTGGCAGGGCTGTGAGAACACAGTAGACAGCCATACAGTGGATTACATTGTGCTAGAAATTGTGGAGATACTCTTTTAAGGTTGTGGTTGGGTAGCCTGAAATATTTATGAAACATTTTACACTTTGGGCAGAGACTAATGTCTGGTTTCTCTCCTTTTTTCATCAAACATCTCTAAAGAATAGCATATCAGTATGGAAAGATTCCTTGGAAGACATTTAGTTAGTCCAAAGAATTCGATAACTAGAATTATAGACTCTCAGGAAGTCTATTTGGAAGGGACCATAAAGATAATTTATTCCAATTACTCAGCTGTTTCCTGAGTCTCCTCTGTGGCATTCTCACTGAATGAGCCTTAAACTCTTGCTTAAACTCTTTGGGCCTCTGCTTCTCCTTATTACAAAGATAAAATTTGTTACTTTGTACCTTCCATTCACTGATCTCATTTCTTTGGGGCAATACAAAATATTCTAATCCCTTATGAACTTTCACCTATTTGAACGTAATTCTCATTGTTTCCTCATATTTGACTTCCCAGGGGAATTCTGCAACTTCCTGCTCACTTGAGTCTTTCTCTCCTGAAGGCATTTAGTTTATCCACATCCCATGATTGAGCTGAATGTAATATTCAGGGTGTGGGCTAACCAGCACAGAATTGAACAGTATAAAAGTAAAATTTCTAAAAATGATTATTTAAAAATAGACTAAAATAAATTAACTCTTTTGGATGTTTGAAAGGCACATCCCACAGCTACTTACTTGTATCTCTATATTCTTCCTGCTTACCTTCCTTCTCCTAGCTACCTTCTTTGGAAAGTACTCTTGAGAAGTTCATTAGTCATCTCCAAATACCAACTACAGTGTTCTTATTTTCCAGTCCTTATTTTCCTTGAAGTTTCAGCTATCCTTTAATCATTCATTTTTTCTCAAAACTCTAATCTTCCTTAATTATTGGAACATTCCACTATACAGGTTTTCCTTGTATCTTCCTATCCCTTAGTTAAATTTCTTCAATATGTTACATATAACAAACTCAGTCCTTGGACTTCTGCTTTTGTTAGTCCTGTACTTTCTCCTTTGAAGAACTCACTCTTATTGCTTGTACTCATCTAATTCCAGGTATCTCTTGAATGACAAATGTTATTGCTTTTCCCCTTAAAACAACAATTTGTTATTCCCTCCCTGTCCCCCAAACTATTTCCTAGTTTGTTTGTTACCTAGTTTCAAAAGTTTGAAACTATTGGTTTTTTTTTTTTTTTTTACTTTTCCTTACTCCTATGCAGTCATCATGAAGTAGTGATTCTTTGAATTTTCTTCTATTTATTCTCTTTCCATTACTTACTCCAAGTACTTCTTAATTAGATTTACTACCTATGATGTTTCTTTTTTTAATCTTATTTTTCACAATCACAAGAGTAACTATTTTTAAAATGATACAACCTTATTCATTTCACTCTGTGTCTCAAACATTGAGGAATGCTTCCAGCTGCCTGAAGAGGAAAATATAAATTCCTGGCTTGTTTTTCAAATCCATTTATATTCTCCTTTTCAAACTGCGGTAACAGCAAAATTGCCTACTGCACCTGGAGCATGGCATGACAGCCTTTAACCCTTTGCCTTTCTTTTACTTGTAATTCACTCAGCATATCAACATCTTATCCATCTGCTGTGACATATCATATACCACTACTCCCTTCCCCAGGAAGTTATCACCTCTACTTTCTCATCCCACGATGGATTACGCTGTCCATCTAAACTATTTTTTGTAACTTAGATTTTACTTAAAAAATTGCCATGTATACATATATCACTATATATATTGTAAGCTACTTGATTGCAGGAGCTCTGACTTGTGTTTTTCTGTACACTCCTTATTGCTAGACCAGCGCCTTGCAAACATTAGGCCTGCCATGAGGAGTTACTGGTTGATTGGTTGGAGAGGCTATCATAGACATACTTGTCAAAGGATATTACTATATATTTCTTTAATTAAAATGTTTTACTTCAGAAAGTATCCAGTCTTTCTTGACGGAATCATATACGTATTAACTTATAAAACAAATATTTGGAAACTGAGGTTTGTGACTGAGAGATTAAAAAGGGTGTCACTTCTGAAGAGCAGAATCTGGGATATGAAGATGAAAGGGATTTTATAATTATAATCTGTTTAGGCAATGGCTGGGATATGTTTTGTATCTGGAGGATGGGAATCATAATAATCACTTGTCTTATGGGCCTTTAAAAAACATATCCTTACTCTTCCGCTTTTTTGTTGTACTTCTTTCCTTTACTTGCCTTCGCCCTTTTTGAGCCTTTTGGTTTTTCACCACTGATTTCTGATTCTCGCTTTCCTTTAACTTTGTCCTTTCCTTTGTCACCTTTTGTGTTTTTATCACCTTTTTCTTCTTTACCTGGATCTTTCCCTGCATCTCTCTCCTTTTCTTTATCATTATTTCCTTTATCCTCAGAACTCTCCTTCTTTTCTTGGGCTTCCTGTCCTTTTAGTATGCCTGACTCACTCTTCTTTAGTTGGGATTCCGGTGTTTCTGGTACGCTCGCTTCAGTGTTCTTTACTTGGGATTCTGGTCCTTTCAGTACACCTGCCTCACTCTTCCTTTCTTGGACCTCCTGTTCCTTTGGCACATCTGCCTCACTGTTCTCTATTTGGCCTTCTTGTCCTTTTGGTACCTTCGACTCACTGTTCTCTACCTGGGCTTCCTGTCCTTTCAGTACAACTGACTCACTCTTCTTTACCTGGGCTTCTTGTCCCTTTGGGACACCCAACTCACTCTTCTTTACTTGGGATTCCTGTCTTCTTGGCACACCCATCTCATTCTTCTCTACCTGCGCTCCCTGTCCTTTCAGTACAACCAACCCACTCTTCTCTACCTGGGCTTCCTGTCCTTTCAGTACAACCAACCCACTCTTCGTTACCTGGGCTTCTTGTCCTTTTGGTACACTCGACTCACTCTTTACTTGAGATTCCTGTCTTCTTGGCACGCCCATCTCACTCTTCTCTACCTGGGCTTCCTGTCCTTTCAGTACAACCAACTCACTCTTCTCTACCTGGGCTTCCTGTCCTTTCAGTACAACCAACCCACCCTTAGTTACCTGGGCTTCTTGTCCTTTTGGTACACCTGACTCACTCTTCTTTACTTGGGACTCCTGTCCTCTTGGAACACCTGACAGACTCTTCTTTATTTGGGCTCCCTGTCCTTTTGGTACACTCATCTCACTGATTTTTAGTTGGGTTTCCTGTCTTTTTGGTATTCTAGCGTCACTGTCTATCTTGATCTCCATTCCTATCTTGTCTTTCTCTAAATCAGTGCCTTTTCCTTCTCTTTCTGGCTCCTTTATGTGTGTTGATTTCAAGAATTCAACAGAATTTGTAAATATGATGTCATTCTTTAGTGTTTCCTTGTTTTCTTCTCGGCTATTCTGAGACCTTGCAGTGCCTCCACTTTTTAGAATCTGGATTTTGGAACAAGATTTTTTTGCAAGTTCTTCATCCATGTAACCTGTTAATATAACTGAGCATACAACAAAAGGGCATGATTTAGATAGCAAGTATTTTCTCTTTATTTCTATGTTTCCCTTATACTGTTCCTTTTTTTGTCTTAAAACTGACAACCTGAAATTTTCTGAATCCTCAAGTTATCTAAATGAATGGCTCTCTATACAATATACGATAATAAAATTACTATACACATCTGGATTCTTTTCTTTTTTTTTTTGAGACTGATCTTGCCTCTCGTTCCCAGGCGGGAGCTGCAGTGGCGCATCGCGCTCCCACTCAAGCTCCTCCTCCCAGGTTCACACCATTTCCTCCTACCTCAAGCCTCCTGAGTAGCTGGGACTACCAGAACGCCCCGCTCCCAAAGCCTGGCTAATTTTTTTTTTTTCTATTTTAGTAAGAGACGGGTGTTCATCCATGTTTGCCAGGATGCAAACAAAAAACACATACAAAAATGACCACCCGGTCCCAAATGCTGGGGGATCACAGGCTGAGCCACTGTGCGCCCAGCCAAGATATCAGAGCATGAATTCAATAATTGGAACACTAATTGAGAGTAAAACGTGAATGGATTCGTAAACCGACATTTTTCAGTTGGATTTATGGCTAATAATGCTTAGTCAAGTGTATTCTCGAGAAATAGATTTCGTATTTTTAAGGATATTGCTGGAGAGGAAGCAAACATTATACGTTTCCTCAAGATAGAAAAAGGAAACTGCAAATATGCTTTCCTATTGGACGATAAAGCATATCTTAATTATGATGTACTATCTGATCAATTACTAAGTGTTATCCACCCAAGTACTCACTGGTCTCTAAGCACTTTAGTACTTCAAAATTCATTTGATACTCACGAACAACCAGGTAGCGGTAGTTATTACTCCATCATTATTACGAGATAAGAAGAACTGAGGCACAGAATGCTTAAAGAATGTGAAAAGGTTAGTTATATCAGTAGTAGCTGGTAGCTGGGATTATGAACCTGAGGGCCCGCACTCAGAGTTGGTTTTGATCATACCATTAGACCTCCGCTTCTCTGCAACTATCTGCCAACTCTGCCAAAACATTTCACACGTCCTTTCTGAAATTGGTTTCGAGTAAATAGTTCATTCTCTCAATTCCTGTTGATTTAACAAACTTCGAATTTATTAGCTTCTGCTACCGTAATTTTTATTTGACTTTTTTTTTTTTTCTAGAGTAATACGGTTCCTTTTAAATTAGTGCTAAGAAGAAATATATGAGCCACCAGGAGTTTGTGAGTTCTCGCCATGGCCAGCTCAGCATGTCTCTTTGAGGAATCTCAATACTTTAATATTTAGTATTGGTTAAGCGAACATACATCACTATCTATACAAAGCCGAATCAGAGACCTGTAGCGGCTGTGGATCCGCTGCTCACACTCCTTAATTCCCTAGTACCTCGCAAGGGCCGAAGTGGTGCGGCCGGCGGCTGGATCCACTTGAGGTCATGAAGTTGGGAGTAACCAGGCCAGCGCCAACATGTGAAAACCTAATGCTCTACTAAATACAAAATTACGCCAGCGCATGGTGGCGCACACCTGTAACCCCCTCAGCTCTCGGGCGAGCGGCTGAGGCACGGCAGAATGCAACTTGAACCGGAAGGCGCAGATTGGCAGCTGGAACGCCGATCGCACCACTTGCAACTCAGTCTGGGTGATCAGAGCGAGACTCATCTCAAAAAAAAAAAAAAAAAAAAAAGAACGACTAGGTTTTTACTAATTTCTTGCCTGATCTGGTTTAATGGGTTTATTAACGGTAAATCGTTAATCCTCAAAGACTGCACTGTTTCTCATATAGTTAGTTCTGATGCCCTGACTCACTTATTGCTACGATGGGTTTGTTAAACTATTAGCAGACTCAAATGTTAAAGGAACATAGCCTTTGGAGACAGACTGGTTCAAATCCTGCCTCCCACACCTGCCTAGCTGGGTGACCTTTGGCAAACTTTACTTTCTGTCTGTAAAATGGGGGCAATAGTAGTAGCTACCTCAAAGAGGTGTTATGAGATTAAATAATGTTATCTAAATAAAAGCACTCAGTACAGTGCATGGGACATAATAAGCAGTCAATAAATATTGGCCATTACTACTTCCCAATGAGATAGTACAGGAAAAAACTCTCTAATTCAATCAAGACAAGGCATTCTTAGTTTCCAACAAATAATTTACATGAGTGGTTGACTGTATTACAGGAACATTTCTTTTTTTTCTTTCTTTTTTTGTTTTGAGACGGAGTTTCGCTCTTATTGCCCACACTGGAGTGCAATGGCATGATCTTGGCTCACTGCAACCTCCGCCTCCCGAATTCAAGTGATTCTCCTGCCTCAGCCTCCCCAGTAGCTGGGATTACAGGCATGCGCCACCACACCCGGCTAATTTTGTATTTTTAGTAGAGATGGGGTTTCTCCATGTTGGTCAGGCTGGTCTTGAACTCCTGACCTCAGGTGATCCACCTGCCTTGGCCTCCCAAAGTGCTGGGATTACAGGCGTGAGCCACCACCCCCGGCCAATTACAGGAAAATTTTCTTGCTTAAAAATGAATTATGGGACTTTTTCGTTTTTTACATTTAGGGTTTGACATTTGAAAAATTGGCATACACGTAACTTCAGAATTTTATCAATTATAAAAATGAGGCACACCTGTATTAGATAAGAAACTATAAATCAAAAGGGTTGTTGTAGTTCAGTGTTTTATTATTTTCAGCTGTTGATATCTAAATAAAAATAACATTAGGAAAATTGCTGTAATGTTTTCTGAACCTTTTTGTATATTTCCCCCCTTACAGTCCTTCATTAAAATATGGTACTGACATTTTATTCTAGACAATCAATTTTCAATTTCCTAATGAAAATCAGTGGTAATATATTTCAAGCATTGCTAAATTGAGAAAAATAGTTCAGAATATTTTGATCTTCGACAGCACTACCAGTGGACACTGTTTTGTTTTGTTTAGGGGTATGGTGGTGTGGAATGGTAAGATCATGCTTTTCCATTGAAGCTTCTAACCTTAAGAATTTCATGGAATGTAATCCTCACATAAGCTGATTTTTCTTAAGTTATGAATATTTTTAGTTTTACTATCTGTTGGGGGTGATTATTTGCTATTGTGTGTAATACTTCATGACTCATTTTAACCTAAATTTACCTTCTAAATTATATAGGTTTTGTAAACCAAAATTAAGTATTATAGGATTTCCTGAAGCACCCAGTGTTTATTCTAGCTGCACCTTTCCTAATTTCACAGAATTAAAAAAAAATTGTTCTTTCTCCCACTACACTGAAAAATATCTCTAGTTACTTCTAATAGAATCTTCATACCCTTATTTTAATATATTTGCTGGCCATCTTTTAAATCTTGTATTTAATTAACATAGATTAGATTTACAGGATTTATTTTTGAGGAATCCAGCTATCCAATAAAGTGAGGTTCACTTTTATTTCAAGTTTGCATTGCAAAAGTAAGCCACAAATCATTATTCCACCACATTCTAAGTTCTTTTCTTCCTTCTCCCAGATTTCAAGATAGTTTATACATGTTTTCCTTCTCTTGGACCTCATAATCATCCTACACTTACAGTGTAAATCTTCATAATGTAAAGACTTGGAAGCCCTGGCTGCAAGTACATTTATTGCAGGCAGTAGCCCATACTACAAAATTTTAATACAATCCAAAGATTTAATCAAGACTTTGGGATCATCATAATACATTCAAGCTGATTAAAAAGTAATTATTACAATTTTTAAATTGGATTAATTTTTGTTAAAGCTAAAAAATATCATGAAATAGCTATCACATTAACAATTCTATCTAAATGTGATA